GGACGACGTCCCAAAACTAGTAAGATATTTACGTCAAATATCAAGGAACTAGAGTTTTCGAAGATAAATTATACAATTACAGACGAAGCCGTATAAAACAACTAGTGTTTATTATACAAAGAATAGACTGCTCCAGAATAAACCTGGAACACAATAACAAGATTGTTTCCATTGGCTCCAGAATATTAAGATCTGGTTCACACCTAGTTTATTTTTTCAAAGTTTTTTCTCCTCAGTTTCTGGAGGGCAGCCAGTCACTTGAACACAATGATGCATTAACGACTCGGAAAAACAGTTCGTGTTATTTCGTAGCAAACATGTAAACATATATGTTTTATAGTGAATATATTTAGTTAATACTATACATATATTGTTAGAAATGAAAATCACGTTATGATTTTTAAAATAAACGTTCGCCGGCCAATGGACTATCCTTACTAATATTATAAATGCGAAGTAACTGTCTGTCTGTCTGTTACGCTTTCACGCCTAAACCACTGAACTGATTTTAATGAAATTTGGTACAGACATAGAGTTGACCTTGAGAAACAATATAGGATAGTTTTTATCCCAGACTTTTGAAAGGTTCTCTTGGAAACGCGATATAACCGAACTCCACGCGGGCGAAGCTGCGGGCGGAAAGCTAGTTTATTAATATTCGAGACTGATTAGGACAGAGTTTCTTGTCTTGACAATAGTTTTGAACGAAAAGTGTCAACTGTCAGATTGTCAGTAACGGCGCTCTTTATAGGTGGCTTGAGGGTTGATAGTTTAATAATTGATTATTATTTGACAATATAATAATCATAAGATATATATAATTGAAGATTCTTTTAGTATATGTATAAAAAATATAATTTCAATGCTAGTAATATAAAGACACTGTTTAAAGTCAATTAAAAGAACATAATATTACGCTGAAAATTATGATAAAAATTTTACATATATATCAAATTAAAGACGCTTTTATGTTTGTTTATTTCAAATTGTATTAGCGTGAAAAAATGTAAACTAAATTATAATTAAATGGGAGCATCATATGTATTATAAGTAAATTATCTATTGAAAATTTTTCTTTATGTGATATTGGTAGAACATATCGTGAAAAATTATATCTTATACATAAAATTCTCGTGTCGCGGTGTTAGACAGAGAACTCCTCCGAAACAGCTTGACCGATTTTGATGAAATTTTGTGAACATATTGAGTAGGTCTGAGAATCGGCCAACATCTATTTTTCATACCCTTACGACATAAGGGTTATTCACAGTAATTTTTTTATTTATTTTTTATTATATAGCATTAAAAATACATACAACCTAAAATTTTTACGTTTTTATCACCAACCCCTATATTTATATGACAAAACAACGTTTGCCGAGTCAGCTAGTATATATTATAGATATATATATATATATTATTTATTATAATTACGTTACGTTACGCATGAGGATTTTGGTGGGTAATGTATAGAGTTGTTTACGGAATGCAAAAACCGAGTCTCAATGTAAACATGTGTAGGTGTTTGTTAAATGTTGTGTAAAATGAAATTAATATTGAGAGAGCTACGAGTGTGTTAGAGAATGTCGGTTTTATTACGTCTTGACGCGAGTTGAATTTATATATAAATTTAATTATCATTTGAGAACATATTATTAATTTTTTAAATGTCATTTATATTATTCTAAAAGTATTCTAATTTAAGCTAACAATATTCATTTGTATATAATAATTCTATTTAAAAACATATAAAGATATCATGGATAGTAAGTACCAGTAATTTTCTTTGAATTTTATCATGGTAAAAACTATATACGCATATTTCATTATTGTAAAATTACATACTCCGGATTTTTTTAAATTAATACTCGCGAAAGCCTTAGATTTCATTATTGTTATTGTTATGTTGTTCTTAAAAATAATATTTTATATAAAATTATTTATTAATATAATGTATTTACATACAAAAGGTTTACACACGATGTACCAGAGCTCGTTGGGCATGCTTTACGCTGAAACAGTACCTTTGGAGCGCTTTCAAGCACTTTCGAGCACTTTGAAGCGCTCTCGACTATATCGCATTTAATTAACTTTACATGATGCGTTTCATATTAAAAATATATTTATATCATATTCTATAAAAATAACATTAATATTTGATACAATAACTTAGGATTGTGATAAAATTTTAAGACAAGGGCTTGTTAATAATTCCCTCTTAAAAAAATAGTTTGAAAAATTAAATGTATTATAACTTGCGTTACAATAGTATTTAGACTTTCTGATGTATATCTCTTCCTCGCATGTAGATGAAGTGTTTCCTTCCTTCTTCCTCATGCAAACATCAAATGATTGGAACAGTTAGCATGCCTCTGTGTTAAATACTTGTTACTATTCTTAAGCCTTCAAGAAGAGATAGCATTATTTTCTTCTAGGGTGAGATGCGAGCCAAGCGTTGTCTTGCTTTATTTTTAAGAAGAGATTTTTGGTCAAATATTTTAGAATTGAAAGTGAAAATGCTTCCGAACTAAGTAAAACTTATTAAAGACTTACAAAAATGTGAAAAACATGTGAGATAAGTAATGAATATGATCAAAATATTGACTTCTTATTAATAGTGTAGTGTTACTGAGGCTTTTCTTCTTTACAGCTATTTTATTTACAAAAATAAAGATTTCCGACAAGCCAAAGAAATTCACAATAATAATTGATAAAATCTTGATTGGACCATGATAAAATGGATATTTTGTACTGCATGATATGAAAAAGTGCCTTTCAAGGACTTCAAATATTAGCTGGACAATTTTATCAATACTAACTGTTTAGATGATTCTTATATTAATTAACCTTAATTTATTAAAAAGAAATAGCTCAAAAATTACTGACATCTTTTCAGGGTTTTATAACTAAGTCATATTTAAAGTCTAGGCAAAAATAAATTTAGCAAAGAAAGGAAAAGTTAAATTTTGTTCGTAGTTATTTATGAGCGATAGTTTTATTGTGTTAAATGAGTGACTTTAATATTTTTTTTGGATTGTATAGATGGTAAAGTTTCATAAATTTTATAATTTCATAACCTACCTCTAGCAACTTTAGACTAAAAAGCCTAGCAACCTTTATTCATGTAAATTCAGAAAGCGATTTATAAACAGTAAGTAGTCGATGAGATGGTCTCTAAACACAATAAACGCTGATAAGGGAAATTGAATCTTGATGCAATCGGAGAAGGTCTATGTTCAGTTGGTTCCAAAGTCACGTAGCTAATTTTATGTCAGGAAGTGCGTTTCCGAGATGTTAAAAGACTTTTTGTTTGTAAACGTTTAGTCTTTCTTGTTAAGTTCCATTTATTTCTGGATTTGCAATTACTGCTAATAGTAATATTAGGTATAGATTTGTTTTCTCTCATTAAAATTGTTTTTGGTTATTATTCACACCAAAAACATTATTATAGCAAAATTGCTCTTTTAAGGTTTTAATTTAAGCTTGAAAATTTAAATATAATATTATGTATTGTTAGTAATAATTATGTATAATGATTTAAATATTTGTCTACTTCACAATTCTAAGCTTCACGTTATTTATATTCTAATATTTATTGGGAATTCTTATGATAGTCATCTAGCGCCATCGGTATATTCGGTTTAATAATATAAATTAATGTTAATAATATTTCTGTACAGTAATTCAAATGCCCATTGGGCTTAACAATTGGTTTTATAATTTATAATGAGAGTCTTAGACCCAGTTTCACCAATCATTGTTAAATAGATTACATCGTGTTAATGCGTTTGATGCTCTGTTAGATGTATCGAGCGTCCCACCACGCACAAATGTCCGTTTAAATGTGTTAACCAGACATTAATATTAATTACTGCTCTGGAGCTCCGTCTTATGGCTAACAGAATGTTAATGGCATTGTCAAAACTCAATTGTCCAATCACAGCCCTGATTTCTTGTAACCATAGTAACGTCATCTGTTTTGTCAGTTTCGACTATTTCCTTGTACTTATTAATAAAGTGAAATAAGATTTCATTTAATATGATGATTTTGCCTCCAGCTTTTCTATAACATTGAAAATTAAGTTTTCTTTTATTTCTTATAATTTGAACACCATTTATGTCTATATTTATAACATAATAATATATAACACAATTTATTGACTACCCGATTTAGACAGGTTACACCTAGTAAATTGTAAAGAAAGCTTTTTGTGTGCCAAATGTATGCAACCAATGAAATATAAAATTTGGTCGCATTACCTAATAAGTGACGTATCGAGGGATATATACGATCAAAGTATAAAGTGGTGCATCGTGGCAAACGTGTCATATTAAACGCTATAGTTTCCATTTGGTCGTCTTATAACAAGAACGAATAATTTGGTAGTCGGTCATTTGACATGTAGTTTAATAATGCGTTGTTAATTTGTCATCGTGGGACGTAAATATTTTAACAGACATTTATAATTTTGTAGGTTGGTTAGTAAATGCTGTGATTAGCTTAAACAAACATTTATTGGTGAAACTGGGTCTTAGCATGTTTTGTACAATGTTAAGTGTTTTATTATTTAATGGGAACTCTTATGAGGGGAACTAGCGCCAAATATTATAACCCACCCTCACCTAAATGTTACTTTTGAATATTATAAATACGATACAAGTGTTAGACTGGGGATTCGATTACAAGTTGTGGGTACTTAACATCTAAGTGGAAGTGCTGCCTAAAATATATCTAACAGTATAGTATATACCTTAAATAACTGTTATCTAACTAAAGAAATGTCCAGTAATATACTACTGTTATTTTCGTAATTTTACACTAATATTAATTTGAAAAACGAGTCGGCATAATCTATTCATATTAATAAAAATCTTTCACACTTAAGTCATAGGTTTTTCAATTTCATTTCCATCTTATAATGTTCAATCATATGTACATTGTCTCCCTTTTTTGTATACAAAGTTATCCACATATATAACCAAGTATTTTCTTTCCATAGTTATGGTGACATGGTGCCCGGTACCATCGCTGGTAAGATCGTTGGTGGTGTGTGTTCTTTGTCTGGTGTGTTGGTGATCGCTCTGCCAGTACCAGTCATCGTCTCCAACTTCTCAAGGATCTACCACCAGAACCAACGTGCTGATAAAAGGAAGGCTCAGAGGGTGAGTATAGTCAAAAAATATTATTATAATTTTTTTATGAGAAAGGTGGTACACAAGCAGACGGCCTACTTGATGGGCAGTGGTGATCGTCGCCCATGGACATCCGCAACAAAGGTTTTGCAGATGCGTTGTCAAACTTAATCGTTGATGGAAAAGGAGAGGTAGGAATAGGGAAAGGCCAACCAACACTCTCACTCATTGAATGAAACGCAGCCACTTAAGGCTACTTTTCACCGATCTTCTGTGAGAGGGTCATACTTCCACGATCGAGCCAGCCCATGTTCAAGCTGTAGTAACTTGACTATAGTTAGGTTTTACCACCTATGAGTTTAATACTACGTTTTATATTTGTAGACACTTAATAGTTAAACTATTTAATATTAGTGGTACATGATAATTTTTATATTAGCGGACTTAATGATAATTGTCTCCAGACAGTTATGAAATACTAGCGTATAATGAGATCTAAGATTTAGGCAAGATTTCATTGAAATAAAACTAATATTTTTTTTTTTTTTTTTTTGTTATCGCGGTGAAAGGTTTTATACCTACCCCTCCGTCTAGGGGAGACAGAGGCGGTTATGTGGGATTCACGGCCAGAAGGGCCCATGTTACCCACTAAAACACCAGCGGTCACTCTCCGTTGCCGCCAAGTGGATCGCCACTTGAAACGCCGAAGCATGCATCCGCGACGATCCGGCGGCGGGCCGCGAACGGCCACCTCCCCCCCCGAGGGCTCACTCCAAGTGACCAGGAGTGTCCCCCCGCCTGGCGGGCTTGCTTAATCGCGAGAGGGTTAACCCCTTACCCCTCCCACCCAAGCCCACGCGGCCAGTCTCCAACCACCCACCGACGAGCGCAAGCGCCCGACGGCAGACAGAGAGGAAACCGACCGACCACAAGCGAACTCAGGCCTCCGGAGAGACCCGAGTATCCCCTCCCCCCCAAGACAGCCACGGACGGCCTCCTGCCAGATCCGTGACCGTCTTACTCCCAGGGCTGTACCCCCAGCCCTCCCCCCCGTGACTGATTGCACCGGAATACACCAGTGGGCGATGGGGTCGTCACGTCCCGACGCCGAAATAAAACTAATATTTGCAGCAACTATGATCATGTTTAGACCAGATCACGTCTGTTGATAAAAATAGTTATAAACACATAATAAATCTGAAAAATATTAGTTTTATTTCATACTAGCAATTTAAGAAAAATAAAATATTGATTTTGCACATGGTCTTCTACACTTTTGCCTATATTGAATGTGAAACTGATGATATTATTAATGATATATTTCAGAAAGCTCGTCTCGCTCGCATCCGCATCGCTAAGGCTTCTTCAGGGGCTGCTTTCGTTTCCAAGAAGAAGGCAGCAGAGGCTCGGCTGGCTGCTCAGGAGTCCGGCGTGGAACTGGACGACGCTGGCAGAGATGAAGACATCTTTGAATTGCAACATCACCATCTGTTGCGATGCCTGGAGCGTACCACGGTAATGAACATAATATAGGACCTTACTGCTATTGTTTTACAGTTCCATTTAAAATAGTTAAACATTATTTTGTATGATGGAACTATAACCAAACAAAACAAAACTAGAAATGTAGAAACCGCCAAATAGGGTAACAGTACTTTATAAGATTATTTGCAGGGAAGCTATATGATGGGATGTACGAAAGGAGACCTTTTAGTCAGTTTAGATGTTTGCAGGACAGGGAGTTTGTTGAGATGGAGAATCCTTACAATGGTGCAGCCAAGCGGCCTGGCTCACCGTCCCCGCTAGCCTCGCCCGCACACTCGGGCCGCGCCCCGGCGTTGCTCGCCTGCTGCGCGCGATGTGGTTGTTGCCCGCAGAAGTATCAGGTAAATATTATATAACATAATGCCAAGTAGATTGTTTGGAGTTGGTTTGGTTTCCAGAGGTATGTGCCGTTTGTATTGGGGATAATGCCGCATATTAATGATGGTTTAAATGGATTAGGCAAGACATAATCCACACTTTCTCATAGTCCAAAACGATCCGTCAGTCTATGAAGATAATTCTTTGATACAACTAATCCTGCTTATGTTATTTTGTTTGGGAGGATGTTAATATCTATAATAATTACTCAATCACATATAAACATAGCCTGTTACATGAACAAACACTTTTCACAACAGAAGCGCCGTCGTTCCGTACGATGCGTCAGTCCGATCGGCCTCGTCTCGTGCCCGCGTCGTGAGGTACAAAAAGCACTAAGCACGCGTTTATGTCTTACCAATTACGTATAAAAATAAAGTTATTTCTATGGCCAAAAAAATAAAGTATCACCCAAAAGAATTTGAATAAGAATAACTACCCAAAAAAAAATTACACTACGGGAAGGTATCGACAAATATATGCGTAAAAACATATGTCGAGTTTAAAAAATACACCAATAATTGTAGAGATAATCATTTCCAAACTATTCTTACTATTAGGTACTGAAATAAATGAAGATTCACACTCAGCAATCTCTCTATTCCTTATACAAACAAGTATTAAGTTCACAATTACAGTTGGCCATAGAATTGTTGACAGTGTAATACGTATATTGGCCCGTTGCTTGTGTGCTACACCTCAGTGTTTGTTCCCCGAGTGCTTAACGAAATGTCAAAGAATGCTTCCGCCTGTCTTGTTCATTAAATAAAGCTATGTGTATGCTAAGTCCCGCTCAACCCGATGGCTCAGGCCACAAAATATCAAATGGAAAGCTTGCGAGAGACCCTTATAAGAGTTTACAACCGTATACACAATCTGATGACGTATTGTTAATATATATGTATTTTATTTGACGGTGAGTATATTATGTAAGTATTATATCAATTTATTTTATGAGTTATCATATATTATTTATGTATAGTTTTAGCTTTTTCTTTGGGTTCACACAACACACGTATCACTATACATATGAATGGTCAATGGTCGATTGGCACACAGGTCCTGATATTAGAATCGAGTAGGAAGCGATCACGAGGCACTCGTCGGTACACTGCGACCTCCAGACCCTCGGATACTTCGATGTCGGCAGCTCCTAGCGAAGACCCATTACCAGTATGAGCCATTATAAGTTACCTTATATTACCAACCAGTGACGGCTAAGGTTCTCACGGTTGGTGTACTGGATGAAGGCTTTCAATGTCTGCAGGGTGTTGGCTGGTTGTCGCTTTGTGGTCATAATATATGTTATGTTTAAATATCGATGTATATTTTTGAGGCTTTCGCTGTGATGCTGTTGTCGTAAACGTATCTATGTTCTATGGACTATATATCATGTGTTCGTTTATATATAAGATATATTGTTAATAAATCGCATTACTATTATATTTTATCATATATATGTAATGTTATTTTGATAGTAATGCGATTTTATATAAGTAGATCCACGAGTGTTGTAAACGGTTGTAGATAGTAGATGATACAATTGATTTGTATTAATGATGCAGTTGCCAACACACTGCACACATTACTGGTACATAGTGACACTTGATGTAAACAATAAATATGTATTAATAATTAAATCTAATACAATATATAGAGCGGTAACTTTTTTAGGACAGACAGTAAACTGAACTAATAATTCTTGAACACTCACATACATATACACTACTGGGTCTACATAACATTGTACCTTTAGGCATGCTTCAGCACAAACCTACACTCGTAATGTAAAGCTCACTTATTTTTATTGGCGTTTATGCGTATGCTCTTTACAAACCCGTTCCTTTTTACAGCATTTATGCTTCTTTTATCGTTATTTGAACATTATCAGATATTTTTTTCACGATCCACACAAACCTAGATACCATTCAATTGAAATCACTATACCTAATTTTTTTGTTTTTCGTTTATAGCAAAATAGTAATGTATGTAATTTATAATTGCAGCAAGCCTGCGGCAAATACATTCCGGCTGGCAGCACTGTTCAAGGGAATCAGACCGGTGTTGCAATGGATGGGACTTATCTCGTGGAAGCATCTTTCTAGGACCCAGCATCCGCTCACGTTGAGAGCTATGTGTGATAGGACATAAGTGTACGCACAGAAGTATTCCAGAGACGTTTGCTATGAGAAACAATTATTAGAATATGTCGAAACTTAACACGATACTGCCTAATAGAATGTTCGCGTATTGTTTTGTAATGGTGACCTTGATATAATGCACAAATAAGCACATAAAGTTGATCAAATATCGCTGTCTGAATAGTTTTTGGGCATTGATCAAATATTTATCATATAAGTAAAGTAGATCTATATTTATAAGTAATAAAATGAAATGGCTTATTACATGTGGTATAACCTAGGTACCTATTAAGAGTAGACCAGTGTTTCCCAAAGTGGTCCGTTTGCCCCTCCTGGGGGACTTTTGAATTTAGAGGAGGACAATTTGGAGATTTGAAAACTCAAGGCTACTTACAATGATTGTTAGTACTAAAAAACACTCAAAAAGCGTTATAGCGTTTTCATGGCAAAAAGTTCTATATGCAATAGATCTAGTCAGCAAAATAAGTGTGTAATATCTATACTATTGTAATTTTAGGCCTCGGAAGAAATTTATTTCTAAACAAAATTTATAGGAGACAATAGCCATGTTCAATCTAATATGTAGGACATCGGTCCATAAAGTTGGGAAACACTGGCCTAAACGAAGCCTGTCTACCAAATATCTTGAGGTCCCTATTGCAAAATATTAGTATCACATCAACGAATAATTACATTCGTATGGATACAGTATAATTAAGATTTTTAATGTTATTCGATTATTATAATCGCCTCAGTGAGGTATTATCGATTTTCTGCTTCCGAAAATCGTTAGAAAAGACAAGAAATTAAAGAAATCACTCTAGTCAATAGTCGAAATCATATCAGTAACTGAATATATCTTAGCTGTCTTGAAACGAAGTATGAACAGTCCACTAGGTCACTAGTGCCTTCGAAGCCATAATATTAAACATAGATATTGTTACTCTGTGTTAGTGAAACGTAGGAATAGATAGACATTCTTGAAATGATATAACTTCAGTGACACGAAAGAACTGATATTAAGAAAAAAATATAATAAATAAATAGATTATTTCCTCGTCTTTACGTGACACTGATTTTATATATGTATATTCGACTTAGCAGTGAGTTGAAAAGGGCAATGAGTGGAATGCAGTGAAATTACACTCGTATTTATTCAAGCCCAGTTTTAAATAATTCTAGTTATCAATGTCTTATGATCGCAATATATAAATAATGTTATGTATAGATAGATGAATTTATGTGGTTAGTTTATATAATAAATGTTTATTAAGTGATGTAGCGAGTGTCTGTCGGAGTTCTACAGTTCCTCCGATGTGTGGACAATCAAGTATTTAATAATTGTGTTTCTGAACTATATAGTCTATAAATAGATATATTATTAGATATATTTATTTTGTAGTTATTTGTATAAATCGTATTTGATGTTAATAATGTGTCTCTTCCAAAATATTGCCATTTCTATTTAAATGATGAAATATTCAACAATAATTTTGGTGATTAATTAAGTATAAATTGTAATGTTTAATCTAATTATTGCAAGTCTTTGAGATTTGTTGAGTCTTAGTGTAAATTATGAAAATTAAAATAACTTAGTACTTTGAACCACGTGTAAGGACCATTAATTGTTGCTTTTATGACGGATTAGTACGAGTTTAAATTGACGAACTGAAGACGGGTAGTTTTCACTTATTTACTGATGGTATCAATGTTGCTAGATATAAATGATACACTATACTGTCAGTATTTAGTTTCAAGATTTAAACTCGTACTAAGACCATCAGTTACTTCTTTAATTAAAACTATGAGTTAATTTATATATCGCCACAGTTAGGGATACAAATAACTAAGATGTGTTTCTAAAAATAATCGCGAATCTTAATGAATAAAAGAAATATCTAATAATATTTCCTGCTTTGTTTGTGTACCTTAAAGGTACTTTTGTAATCTCCAAGAATATTTTTTGTCCATAATTTATATATATATATATATATATATATATATATATATATATATGTATCCTTCATTTCCTTGTCTTACATTATAATTCTCGTGAAAATGGCTTGTTTATAAATGCTATAAATAATTTTTCATGTGTTTTATATTATAGGAGAATTTTTTGAGATTATTATGAATGAATCTTGTTCTATATGTTAATGATAGGATCTTCTCGTAACGTTTTCTCCCTGTGATTCTATGGCTGTTTTAATATGTTACATAATAATATATTTAGTTGTTCCCATTGTTTTTGTTCTGGTACGTGGCCTATACTACCTCCTGATTCATCGGTTTCTGTAAATAAATATTATGTATTGTCTCATATTGTTAATATATTAACACCAAAACGTTTGCCAAAGTCCTGTGCATAGAATTTATTGGCTATGTAAGATCAACGACTCGACAGGAGGGAATTGTAATCGTTTGTAAAATATAAAATTTCTATGTGTAATTTTAATATAAAACTGAATTCAATTTCTATAGATTAATGATGTTATTCTTAAAATGTAATTTAGAATAATTTAATATCAAAATGGTTTAGATGGTTCGTAATTTATTGGCGAAGTAATTCATGCTATGGAACTAACAGATTTGGAAAGCAAATAGTTTTGGGCCATTTTTATGTGATTTGGTCCCAGGATAGTTCTGGGGAATTTCTGGTCTGTGAATTGTGCCCAGAATTGTTTATTGGTTCATATTTTGTGTAATGTTTAGATTGGAAGTTTATGGAAAGACAATATGTGTGGAGTGTATACTGATGCTGGACCAATGTGACGGTTCTTCATAGTTTAGTGTGATGTGATTCATAGATATTATATTAGTTTCTGAATGTGGTTCACACTTGACACTGCTTACTTATTTTGGGTTGAAATTGTAACTACATTTAAGTATATATATTCCATAATACAAAAAATTATTGATAACCTCTTATGCTTTTGCAATTTTATTTGTAATTTTCACAATTGAAAATGAAAAAAATTGCTTGAAAGACTAAAGAGATATAAATTTCTTTCTTCATTGATTACGAAAACAATGTGTTTAGTTTTTTGTGTTTAAAAAGATGTTAAGAGATTTATTATGCGATGTAAAATAAATGTATGTGTGTTTGTCACGTCGTAACTCTGAAATGGATGTACATATTTCGATGAGGTTTTCTCATATGAACGCCAGTTTCTTCGCAATAGTTTTTAGTTATGTTTTATTAGTATTAATTTAGAAGTTGAAGTAATCAACCAATTTCAATGATTACTTGACTAAGCGTCTCTTTGTCAGTATATTCAGTTTTCAAATGAAAATTAATAAAAGGGATTTTTTTTTTTGAATTTAATTGATTATTCTTAAGTCATAGATTTGAAAAAAAAATGAATAAATGAACTTTAGTGCCAACTATAAAATAGTTAACCAGCAGTGTCAGGTGTGATAAATAATTATAAATATTATTATATTGTTTTTATGAGCTTACAATTATAATATAAATATAAATTATTGGAATTCTTCGTTTATTTTAAGATATATATAACTTCCATTCTTTAATATAACTTCCATTACCACAAGTTTGCACGATCAAAAATATTGAAAACATGATCGTACTTACGTTAATTAATAAGTAAAATACTGGCAGTTTTAATTAGTTTGACGATGCAAACTTGTAGTAGGTAAAAATTTTGTTTCTGAGAAAGATCGCTGTTAAATATTTAATAAAAACTATAGTACATACAGTATTAAGTTTATAAAAACTCATAGTACGGTGTCTAATAAATATATATAATTCTTTTTAGTATATTTATTATAATTGTAAGCTTAAACACATCTTTATAAAACTAAAAGCTTAGTAATTCTTTGTTAATATGAAATGAAAGGAAATAAAATTAATTGTATATAACCGATTCTTATTTACATTCATATACATACATAATATATTATTATATATATTTCTCCTTAATAATTTTTAATGAAGAATAATTCAATATATCCTATAAGATAAGATGAGATGACGGAGCGTTTGACGTTTTTGTAGCTATATACCTAGGAGTCAGTACCATCATTATGTTTCAATGTAAAAAAAATTGTGTAAATATGAGTAAATGTGAGTAATTTTTCAAATAATAGTGAGTAACTTTTCCTGAACTACTATTTTTGACGTTAGCTTTTGTTTTAGAAATATAAGTGGTATTAGAACTGCTGATATTGATGGAAAGTATTTTTTTATTGTTCATAAATGTCTCCAGAGTCCTAAAAATATTGAAAAATATGAAAAATAGCAACAAAGAGGTAAAAGTAAAACTATTGGAGACAAGAGTGAAGTCATGGTTTGTCCTAAGTCAGGAGCTACCCCAAAACCTTCAACTGTGTATGAAAATCGCATTTTTATTCATAAATTCCATTGTGTATTTATATGTAAAATTCTTTTAAATGCAAACAAAATTAATATATCATTGTTTATCTATTGTATTGGTTGTAATTAATCTCAAAAAATAAAAATTATAATAAAATATTTTAAACATATTCTACATTAAACACATAGGGGACTTAAAACTATTAATGAATAAAATATTTTTTTTTATTCCTCCTTACCTATAGACAATAAATATATGACATTTTTAAATCAGTCATAGTGACAGCGTCAGAATTTAAGGAAAACTTATTAGATATACATATACTTAAGAGTTTATTTTCTTATTTTCTTATTTGCATTTATTTCTTATTTTGTAGAAAAAAATCTCCTCTTTTTATAAAAACTTTCAAATAATTTTGCATACATAATTATGTATACATTTTATTTTTCATAGTAGAATTTGATGTGTACAGCGCTATCTGGTGTTATTTTATAACAACTATTCATAAACTGAAAATGAATTACGCTTGCCCATGTTTAGGAGAGCAATGAGTAATTAGTGTAGTTCTCTTTATTGAGTATAGATGGCGTTTAACTTAAAAACAAATGGTGAATTTTTAGTATTTTTTTT